AGACTTTTCAAGGCAAATGGATTTGGAAACCTTACAGCATGGTAGAAGAAACAGAGCTGAGGAAATAATGACACTTTTGGTTCAGTAGTCACTTTGAAAAAAACTTTTTTGAAGAAAATTTGGGGTTCTCATTATTTTTTGCAACATTGCAATATTTAAAACAAAGTGAAAGTTTTTGAAAAAGCCAGTCTGTCCCGAAATAGCATTTTAAATAAGTATAAATGAAATATTTGATTTAAAAAAAAATCAAACCCGAACATATAATACATTTTTAAATTAATATACATCCATAAAATGTACTGAAATAGCTGAATCCATACTTTTGGAGGAAAGATATTTCCTTTAGAACTTCTGCTGACTTCTCATTGCCTCTTTACAAATTAGGAAAGCAGGGCAACAAGCATAAGTCAGCAGCAAATAAGAGAAGATGACCTAAGTCTCTTAGAATAAAAGCCTGTACTCATGACAAGCAGAAAAAAGTTACAGACTGTACAGAATCCAGCCCTCTCTAAATTTCTCTGAAACCTTCAAAATTAGGCCCCAAATACACCATCAAAGTGAGAAAACAGATGAATTGTAACCCAGACCATGCAGTGTACCGATATTGTTCCTCAACTGATAGCTCTACTTTCCCAAGACAAAGGAAATGTTTTCTCCTTATACCATTTTGCTTCTGTTGAGACAAAGTGCAACCTGAATGGTTTTGACAATACTATGGATAATGCTGGGGTCCTGTGGTAAGGGAGTTTAATTGCTGCGTACTGGAAAGCACAGGTATATCATTGTTACAATAAATAACCAGCAACCTATTAACTCTCAAGGTTTGGCCTGTTTAACATGCTCTTTGTCATCCAGGAGATCATTCATCTCATGTTCAAAATCACACAAAGCACCTCAGGGAGGACAGACTTCCTTTCACAGAGAAATAGTTGTTTATAGTGAGGCTCCAGGTTGACGCTGGTTCAGATACTGGCCCTGTCCTTCTGGGCAACTCTTTTCAGGCCGTTCGTGTGACTGGTCTCTTTAAAGTTCAGGGATGCACTTGTGCGGATCCATTTGAAGGAGGGTCCCAGAGTCCGAATTGCCAGCAAACCCAACTTTTAGCAAACAGAAAAAGGAGCCTGACTAATATCCCATATGAAAGAGACTTGCCGGTCAGGCCTGCTAGTAATTGTGCCAGTTTATTAAAAAATCTGTTCAATTTATTCATTGTACATTCATTCTTTAGTAAAATGACGGAATTTGGCAAAAGCCCTTCATCACCTTCTCAACCTCCCACAGAACAGAAAATTACTTCCTAGTTCTGATGTTCCATGATGGTGAAACTACTTAAACGTGATGAATGGTGAAATATGATAAGGGTTTTTCCACATCAAGAAACAGTGAAGTTAGAAACAAAAGTCAGTGGTGGCAAATTCATGATAGAATGAAAATTGGGACTATGGATCCAGTCATCCATAATCTGTATCAGTGAGGTAACCTTTGGATCGCTTGCCTCACAGGCGAAGCTGTATGATGCCAAATTAAGAATTACTGCAACTTACAGTATTATTTTAACCTCCTAGAAACATGCCATTTGCTGCCTGGAGCTGGAATAATGCAAAAGTTGGAACATTCCCAGTAGGTTTGATCAGGCCCGACACGTGCAACTATCCTCCTCCTCTGGGCAGAGCCTCCAAGGTCTCACCCCCGTCTCCTGTCACGACAGCCTGTCCCCTGTGCAGAGAAAGCAGTGTGCAAAGCAGCTCATTTTGTTTCAGTTGTGGGATGCAACATATCCTTCCTTAAAGGGCGAGACACCCACAGGACTGAAATAAAAGCCACGTCACAAACAGTTTGATGTCAAACCAGTTTGAGTTGAGGCTTTTGAAACAGGCTAACACGAACAAACGTGCTACAGATAAAATCAGGCATGAAACACTTTTAAAGGAAGATAAAGAAATCAGATTTTTTATTTACATTGTGATGGGCTTCTCCTGTAAAGATTTTTACTACTAACTCATTACATGATCTTCTACAGAAATTTTAATTAGTGCTTCTCAATCCGAAAATAATATTTTGAGAACCTGTGCTACGTTAATCTCTTTGATCCTGAGGGCTTTGATCTGCCATGCGGTGACATGAGTGAGATCAGGCATTTACTTCTATGGTGGGTAGAAAATGTGAAATTATTGATTCCTGTAATCCAGCAGAGCAGAAAAAGGTCTGTGCTTTTTATAGCTCAGAAACTGATACAGTTTTCTTCCCTTGCTGTTGCTCAGAGCAGCTGGAAATGCAAGGCCTGAATATTCCTTAAAGATATCATTATTCTCCTCACAGTCTTATCTTCACTCTTATTAGCCTAAGTCCTTCTCCCTCGCTGAATTGCATCGAACTGAAATCCTCAGTTTTTAAAACAATAGAGCATGATACCACTAACCACCACTTTGTGCCGTCAGTGTCATGCGATTTTCAAAATGAGAGATGTAGGCTATTGCAACAGACTTCAGATTATACAAATCCCAGCAAGGCTTTATCCAAAATAGACTTTAAATGCCCTTTTCAAATTCACTAGAGGGACTCAGCTTAATGCCTTGAGCCAACGACCAGTGAAGGAAGCCATAAGACTTGATTTACTCTCATACGCTGTAAACATCTGGAAGTTACCATCAAATTGGAGAAAATCATGTTTAGTACAATGAGGTGCTTTCTGAAGCAAGACGATTTTTCAAAGTGATTCTTTGCAGATCCCTTCAGAGGTGCAGGTAGCTACTTAACAGAGCACAGGAGAGAAATACAATTAAGTTAATAACACATTCTCTGGTACCTCAGATTTGTCTCCAAATTAATTTGTATCCATCCTCCTAGAGCATACTTACAAATGTATGTACGGTATATAATTTTGTAATTTCATTGCCAATTAAAAGACAACCTGAGTCTAGTACTTTAATATCTTTCAAAATAAACAGGGTTGTGCATAACATGTAAAGTTTTCATCATATTCGGTCCTAAGAAGAACCAGATACACAAAAAATGTTTTCACCTAATAATCAGCATGTTCAATTGAGCACGTTTAGTTGATTTTTGCTCTGGTCTCATTTTTAAGTGCTTTGATAATATGAGTGATATTTAGTCTGTTTATAGTACGCAAGAAAGTGGCGAAGTAAAACACAAATTTCAGTCCTGTATTTCCAAGTACATTCAATAGAAATACACCCAGACATCTGGTACTCAGCTGGTGGGAAAAGTGTAATAAGCATTGGCAACATGTTTAACAGTACACTATTCCTTATACCACCAGGAAAAGATTAAATCTCAGATTTCAGGACATCTTTTTGTTTCTGATGGCCTCATGCACCTTTCCCATTAACAAGGTAACAATTGCTACAATTTTCAATGTAACAACTGTAACAATTTCCTAGTAGTTAGTATTGGTACTTAATCAAATTGGGGGTGGAGGGGCAGGGAAGGAAATGCAGTGTTACAGAGTATTTCTAAAGGTATCAGTAAGTAGACAGGAAAATTCCCACTGGAATAAAGTCTAGGAAGGGACTAAAATGTCCAGTCCAGCAGACAAAAGATTAATCAGAATTATTGATACGTCCTTTATGTACACATTACACATTTCTCAGCATTACAACGTTCTTTAGAAAAGGTACTGTGCACTAAGTAAGGACATTCAGGCTTATGCTGGAAAACAAATACACATGAAAGTTCAAGTTCCCTTGAAAGAATCAGCTCTAAAAAGATACGTGAATATAGAGAACTGGCTTAAATATATAGGGCAGTTATATTTGACTGTTACTTTGTTACCAGTTAAAGCCAGGCACCTAAAGCGTACCCAGGAGCATGAATTTCCTGCCACCAGCAGCACAACTAGTGTTTGCAACGACTAGGAACACTTCTGCTGTGCCAAGAGAAGTCAGGGATTCAGCGAAGGATGTGAGCTGTGGCTTGTGGGTAAAATCAGCGTGACACAAAACATACTTGAAACATTTCCAAATCCACTGTCCCTTTTCAATATTTTCATACTTCTGTATTAGTTTTAAATTCATAAATTGCAACGTAACAGTGCCTCAAGAGATATCCTGAAGGAATTTCATTATCAATATTTACCTGAGCACAGTCAAGAAAAGCAAAGGAACTACAACAATAGGAACTGTTGCTAAACAACCTGGCTTTATTCTGGGCCTTGCAGGTTTGATAAGCTCAGAACTATTCAGAAACTCCCCATCAGAGTCAAAGGCCTTCAGATGGAATTCCTCACCGGCACCATGAGATGTTTACTCATTTAGATAGGGATGTCTTGCCATAACTAGAGTGAACGTTTTATTTGTTCTCCAGTATCACGGCACAACTTAGAGGTGGATTATCAGATAGCTGGCACTCAAACTATATTAGGCATCATGAATTAATATCAACATTCTGAATCACTTGTTTTAGCAAACAAGCAGCTAGTGCAATCCAGCTAGGTACGGCTGGCATTGCCACACACGTTTCAGTTGCTGAATGACGATGATGTAAAGAACACCGGAAGACAGACATGGTAAAATGCAGTTGAATGAGGCCAGGCAGCTTCCAAGGCAATTCCCTGCACCACTGCATTCAGCCAAACTGTGGTCACTGAAGGAAAGGACTAAACTATTAAACGAAGCATTTCAAAAGAAGAGTGGCATACATGGCGGGATGCTAGGGATATTCAGTGTTCAGTTTTAAAGGGCGAAGAACACTCCTTCAACTCATCATGATCAAATTCCCTAAGAAACTTCCCAGTGGTATTTTTAAATCCTTTTCTCTGTCACTTTAAGCAACTTTTTTTTTTTTTTTAATAAGCTTAACTACTATTGATCCAGAATTGCATTTACTGCTCACAGAAATTAGAGGGAGTAGACAGGACTCTGAGACAGTGCTTGCTCTGCTTTGTCCCCAGGAAACTCTTAAGGAAGCCAGAAGTCTATGAAGTGAAGATAAACCCTACCAGCAAGGAAATAAAGTGCCAAAGGAGAGCCTGCATTGGCGCTATGTGGCTACAGCATGACTCTGGGGTGCTCTGGTGAGTGGCCAGAGCAGCTGTCAGCCAGAATCTACTCAAAATTAGTTGTGGCAAATATTGCCACATCACACTCCCACATCTGGGACGTGATCTGTGTTTATTTTCCATAGAACAAAAGCCTTTTTCTTAGCTGTATTGCAATAAAAATTCCGCTGGTGAAGAACCGTAAGAGAGATCCATACATATATTTATATATAAAAAGATAACAGAAGCTATACAGGAATGAAGTGCACCCTGTAGTGCACCCTGATGCAATCCCAGTTTAAGAAATACTTGCTTTTTAGAAAGTATTGAAGCCAGGGATCCTTCATAATGTCTCAGAGGAAGAGAGTTTCAGAAAAAGATGAGCCCCTTGTGTTTCCTTCACCATCTTCCATCTGACTAACACAATCAGAGCAAAACAAAACCACATTTTTCAGCAATCTCAGCAAAACTCCTCTAAATGTGTAAGGAGCAGCTCATTTCTTATTCTTCTTCCACAGGAAGTTATTTTGACAAAGACGTGCTGATCACATAACGTGATAGTAATAAACCTCCCTCATTTCTAAGGCTAATAGGCTCCTCATCAGTTGAAGTATGTCAATGACCAGCAATTAGCACCCTTCTCATTTAGCTACTGTGATTACACCAATTCTTGTATTAGTGCTGCATTAATTGCAGCTTATATCATCTTGATTTGGGGTGTGTGGTGATTTACAGCAGCATCAGGGGGTGGAGACTTTTCTTATTTCCCTCACTGCTAGATGAGCCAAAACAATGCATGAGGCGATCCAGCTCCCGAACTGCTGTGTATTGCAGGCTTCCAGTTCTTCCTACTCAGTCCTTTAACCAGTGAGACTCAGGAGAGTATTTGCTGTTCTCTTAAGTTTAACTACTATTTTTTTCTTATGCAATCAGGGATTAACTTCAAGGTGAGGAAGTTCTGCTGGGTCAGCCTTGTCTTTCCTAATGCTTCAGTTAAAATGATTTATCTCTGTAAAATCTATACATCCTTGGGTTACGGGGCTACTAGGAGGGAGACAAAATCTCCCAACTGGGACGTAGCAGAGCCCTCTGGAGTCTGCAACTTCACAGCTATGTAAAAAACTGCTATGGCAGAGTATGGTGAACCAAAATATGCAATGAAGTTTATTCTTTCTGGGTTCTCCCCACCTGAGAGCAGTATCAACCTTGCCTCTGAAACTGAGTCCTTTACAAGTAGGACCAAAGCTTTCCATAGATGCTTGCTAATAATATGCTGTTTAGGGGGTGTGTGAGGTATACCTGTAGCTGGCATTGCAGACTTGTTCATACATAAAATTAACAAAAGTAAAATCTAAACTTATCAATGTCAGAAATGCTTGAGTATGCCCCTAAACCAGGGCATTTTGAATTAGTAGTTCCTTGTGAATTGTGCATCTGTGGCTCAGTCGTCCACCAGTGTATTTAGTATTATTAATACCACTGCTGCTATAATTATGACAAATACAACTTTCCTGGCTTGCAGAAATGTTGAGGCTTGTTCCCTAGTGGTGGCTCTTGGATGGGTAGATGTGACAGAAAAGGAAATTAATTATTCTTCTCCATAGCATGGTTTGAATCATGTGCAGTAGATAAGGCTTCAGGGCACAAACTTGAATAATGAGAAGAAAACAAAACAGCTATGTATCATCCTTTCTGCCCTTGAGCAGAGCAGGGCTTCTGAAAGGGCCCTGTCTGTATACCAGCACTGTCTGAACAGGTAATTAAAAATTACAAAAACCTTACATGTGAAAAAAGAAGCATATTAAGTTTGCCTGAATAATCTTGTTCTGGTATTTCCTAAATTTTCAGTGTTCTCTTAATTTTTTAATATTTTTTAGCACATTTTTATTTGAACTTGGCTGTATGTTTTGTAACAGCCTGTCTTCTGGCAAGCTATTACTGGTTTATTTGAATATTTGCATGATTCAACAGTGGCAATTGTTAAAAAAGAAAGCAAAAATAAATAGTGGCTTTTTTCCCTGAATGGATCACCTTCCTTATAAAACCCAATATTCCCCTCTCCACAGCGCCAAACTAATCCAAATTGGAAGCAACCTTCCACATAAGCCCAGCTTAACAGTTCCAGTACGTTCCATTCATTTAAATTTTCAAGAATACTAAGCCTTCGGGGAGGCACCTTCTCCGTATTTTCAAATGTGTTTCAGCTGAAGGCCAGAGGCAGATCAGTCATCACAGATTACTTTTATTCTCCTGTAAGTTCTCCATTCATTTGGTATGGTGCCAGTGTCCTACTGAGAAGTCCACAAAACCTCATAGCATATTTTGGACTCGAGGTGAGCTGACAGAAATGTCAAGTTACAGATAACTAGAAACAAACTCCCTAGTAAATACCTAGCTCCAGAAAAAGACTGTGAGTGATCCCGGCTGGGTTTGAAACCAGCTACACGTAACATTTACACAGATTGATGCTGTCTTCTGGCAGTGCAATATGCTTTGGGTTTCACTATGCTTCATCTTTCCCTCCTCCTGGGGCACTTGAACAGAGCTGATTGACTAGCAGTGATGCAGTCAAGGATAGGTACTGTTTATCCCTTTCTAATTTTGGCAACATACACACTAATTTGACCTCTCTAGAGAACGTTCCTCCTTCCTGGTGTCTGCCTTGGACCACTGAGCAGTTTACCCTCTTGGTTAATTATTAGACAATCACATTTGTCTGCCCTTTCTATAAACCAGGACACAAGGGACAGCTGGGAGAAAGGGAAGGAGGAAAAGGGGTGAAGGACACTTCCAGTAAACACAAAACTTAGGGCACCTTCTGTTTTTCAGTATCAGCTATATAAGCTGTTGGTTCATTAATCAAAAAGCAAATCCTTACACTTTACAAAAAGCTAAATTTCAGCAGTTCGCCAGATATATCTGTTTGTTTCAACTGCATTACTAAGCCAAGTATGTAAAACCCATTTGTAATACCATAGCTAAAATGTAATTAACACTATTAACTCATTACCAATGTAAGCTAGTGTGCTGGGGATTTGCTCTGTTATCAGGCAAAAAGGCAACACAGATGAAGAGTGAATGATGAACTGCAGCTAAATACAAACACATAAGGTATGTAAGTACATAATCGGATACAATCAATAGCCAGGTATAAATTCAGGTCAGCAGCCTGACTTAGAAGCCCTGGCTTGCAGGGCAGATAAGCTCTGTTTTGGGAATGATGTGTTGCCTCTGACTGTCTCTAATGTGTTAAAAGACAGACTTTTTTTTAAATTTTTCATTGAAGTAGAGAAAACATTAAAAAACATCTATTTTCTACTTGGCAATTCATTACAGTCCCCTCTGAAAGAAAAGTAGATTTATGTGGTTAAAAAGGTATCTTGCTTGGCCTTCTAAGTCACCAAAGTTGAACTTTGGTCTCTGCCCACACCCGCCCAGTGCCAGTGGAAAGGAGTGTAGCGTCTATAGCAGGATTCTGGATAGTATTCGCCAAATGCAACCAAATGTGAACTCCAGGCCATATATCCACTTCAGATACACTCATCTCACAAATCTGGATCAATTTATAGCAAAGGATGCAATTTAAATATAACAATTCAGAGGGCATGAAATGTGCAAGGGTAAGTACATGCATAAATCTGCTGAGGAATGGAGCACCTGTAATTATAATAATGCAATTTTTTAAAGAATTTGGAAAGTCAATAAAATAGTTAGATCCTTTACAGATAGTTTTTTGGGCTGAAGGACCATCTTGTGCTCTACTGAATTGTTTATAATTAAATTATGTCCTTTACAAGAAGATCTGGGATTAATAAAAGAGCATAGTTAAATGATTGAGATATTGCTTAATATTTCAATTCTGAAGCAAATGAATTTTTTTTTGCAAATATAGTACTTGCACATGCACCTAGTCCTGCAATATAACTCATCTGATTAGTTCATTGCAAGGTGAAAATCAGGCATAACTTGGAAGAAAAAAGTCTTAATGGAGCTTTCAGCGTAATTTTTGTTTAGTGGAATAGAATTACAGTCCCTGAAGCTAAGCAGATGCAAGATCAGATCTGAAAGAAAGCTCCATGAAGGTCAAACGGAACGTGTTCTGAACTCATGAAAACAAAGTGCATCATATGGCAAGGCTACAGAATAGATAGTGTAGGGAATTTTTTGTTGTATTAAATTTGAGGTTTCAATTTAGAAATAAGAGCTATTCATTATTTATACAGAAAGATCTCATTTGCCTTCTGCTTTTCACCAAGTGCTTTTCAATTTGAAAGGGTCATTTGATTGTAATTAAGCCAAAGGTTAGTGAATAATTCACTACCTTTTTTTCTTCATCCTGTCCTATTAATTACTTAGAGCCAAAAGGCTCAAACTTTCAAATAATAGCAAATCTTTATTCAAATAATTGGTAATAATCAAAGGCTCAAAGCTGTTACAGCAGTCAGTTATGAACAAAGAAGATTCTGTTTGTGAAATGAGAACTAATAAGTGAAAAATTAATTTTTCATCAACTTAAGTATTTCCAAAAACTTAGGCCTTCATAGGACATACGATTGGGAATCTGTGTAATTTCATTTGATAAACACAGAGCAAAAATTGGCATCCTTGTAATTAACTTACGCTATTGCATAAAAATACGGGGAGAATAATTCACGAAGAGAAACTACATGCTGCAGAGTTGCTTTAAATCTTTTTTCCTCTATAAATTATGTCAGCTATCTAGTTATATAAAACAGCATGGCACTTTTGGGGGCTCTTCTAATCTGAAACACTTAAAGAATCTTATAAATTTTAAGTAGAACTCTGTAAAATAAGCCATCATACGTGTAGATCTATACAGAGATTCTTCTCATTTTATTCATGTGTTTCACACAACTTGTTGCAAACCTCTTACATGAGAGAAGTAAGAACAATGTTGGTCTACTGTTACTAAAATGAGCCAAAATTTTAAAATTGCATGAAAGCCTGTTGACAAACACATTCTATGGTTTCGGTTCTGGGTTACCACCACAACTACAAAGGACTGTTTGGTAGTT